GGTGGGGGCTGGATATTGACTGGGAAGGGGCACATAGGAACCTTCTGGAGTGCTGAGACTATTTATATCTTGACCTGGGTGGTGGTTGTGCTGGCAGCTACATACGTAGAAATTCACCCCGCTTGGGACTAGTGTGCTCTACGCACTCTCCTGGACATGTGTTATACCTCAACAATATTTTTTAAAAGTTTATTACGGGCCAGCCCGGTGGCGCACTGCTACAGTGCGCTGCTTGGGAGCGCGGCGGCGCTCCCACCGAGGGTTCGGATCCCACATACAGACGGGCCGCTCACTGGCTGAGCGAGGTGCGGGAGCAACACTGAGGGTTGCGATCCCGTTGCCGGTCACGAAAAAAGACAAAAAGGAAAAAAAAAAAAAAGTTTATTACAATGGTGAGAGATGAGAAGTAGTGGTAAGATGGAGGGAGAGGCCACAATGATGGGGGGAAGAGAAAGGAACTAGCCGGCACTGTATCTACCTTACACCCAGCGCTCCTCAGAGCGATCCCTGAGGAGTGTGTTACCCCCTTTCCCAGCTAAGGCTCAGAAGGTTAAGGACTCTGCCCAAGGTCACACAGAAGCAGCAGAGCCAGGCTCAAACTCTGATGGCAAAGCCCAGGCTCCTTCCATTCCTCCATCCCTCCTTCACATAAGTTATTTATGGAATTCAGACTCTGGAAGACTAGACAAACGCTGAGGTGTCCTCCAGCCCTGAGGTCTGGTCGTGTGCGATTAAAGGAGAGGTGGGGGTCAGGGGCCGTGCTCACCTCCCAGGGGGAACCGGAGGCCAGGTGCACAGACGGAGGGCTAGTCTTCCCCTGGGCATTGCCACCCAGTGCTTATCTGCTGCCGAGGAGGCCGGAGTTTATCAACGCCACACTCAGTTATGCTGCCCATCTGTCTCCGCAGCTCAGGGGGACCTGGCTCTGAGGCAGCCAAGGCCAGGCAATCGATCACTGCCTGACGTCCTCCCTGTGGACCCTCGGCTCCTGGGGGCTGGGTGGGGGGCATCAGGGAGGGAAGAGGAGAGGAGGGGCAGGAGGGCAGGGAGAGACTGCATCCACCAACCGCCTGGATCTCAATACCAGGCAGGACCACCAGGCTGTGCTGGGGGTGGGCGAGAGAAGGAGGGAAGAGAGAAGCAGCTCCAGCTCCTGATGACAGTGGCTCCAAACTCTTCTTCAGAGCTTTACCAAGGTCTTTGCTTAAGAGATTAATTCCACACTTTCTGCTAAATCCAGAGAAGCTACCTGGACGAGGCCGATCCAACAGTATTTGCAGAGCCAGCCCTTCCAAGGGAAAAATTTGCCCTTGGAGTGGGCTACCAACTCTGTGTCCCAGACTGTGGCTCCAGGGCTTTCTGCTTCCTGTCCCCGAAGCCCATGGCTACCCAGCAGTCATTGCACAAAGAGCAGTCCCCAGCTCCCAGTCAGAAGGCAGGCTGAGGTCTGCGTGCAGCAGCTGGCTGCTTTTCCCTATGGTTCCAGGCCCAGCCACACTCACACAGGAACAATGTCCCTTTCCCCACTGTTCCCCAAGAGGGCCACTCTAGCTGGGAGTCAAGAAACCCCAGCAGGTGGCACTTGGGGTGGAGGAGCTGAGGACCCAGGTGCATTTCTGAAGGGACTTGCAACTGGTACAGGCACTCTGAGCCAGCCCTGTACCCTGCTCCTATAAAGCAGGCATCGATTTGCATTGGCTGGGCTGGTGGGGCAGGTTTGAATCCCGGCCCCGCCAAGTAGAAGCTGTGCAAGCTTGTCACTTAACCGTTCTGACCGGCAGTTGCCTCCCAGGCAAAATGAGGCTAAATAATCTCTTCTGTGCCTACGCTCAGGGTTAATGGGAGGATTAAATATAATGCGCATGTGCTCTACCTGTTTTACTATTTATGTCCACTCATGAGCACCCCCTACATGCTCAACCCCACCTTTGGTGCTCTGGGGACACAACAAACAGGTAAGATATGGTCCCTGCCACAAGGAGCTTGAAATACAGTTGGGGAAAATGTACACATCTGAAATCCTGATCACGCTGGGAGATTATAAAGAAAAGACAATTTGCTTTCTCTGCAGTTCCCCAGTAGAAACTGCTAATCAGCCTGCGTGAGTGGGCCATGTGCAAGACAGCCTTATATGGTGATGGCAGGTGAGTGGGCAGCTCTGAGCTCCAGCCTGGAAGGGGCTGCATGCTCAGCTGTGAGGGGGAGGGCTTGCCTGGGCCTTTGCCAAGGCTTCAGGTCAGGGGTGCAGTATGAACCTGCGTCATCAAGCCACTGCCTCTCTCTGGATCCTAAGGCCCAGCCCTGGGCTCCTGGCCAAGGATCCAACTTCAATTGTCCCCTAAGAAGTCCTATAGCTGTAGAGCCTCCCAACCCTGAGACATGGCTGGAGCTGGAAGGGAGCTAGCTTTATGGAGCTCCTTCTGTGTGCAACACACTCGACTTATTTAATTCTCACGACAATCTCATTTTATATGTAAGGAAATGGATGATCAAAGAAGTCAAGTAACTTTTCCCAGGGTGCTCCGGTAGTGAGTGCTCTGTAGAGCCAAGATCTGGTCCTGATCTATTTGCTCCTTGTCTGCTCTTTGGTGCAGGTCTAGGCGGGAGTCAGGGGTCTCTGGTTTGTAAGTGTGGCAGGACCACTGGCCTTAGGTCCAGTTCCATGGCAGGGACCTTTCAGGGACTCGGGTTGTTTCCTGCTTCCTCTCCACCCACACTGTACACCACAAAATTCCCTCCCCACTTCCAGACCCCAAGTCACTGGCTTTGGTGGCTGGGTTCCCCAGGGTTCCCCTTGCACATGTATGCAGGCATGCGTGCATGTGTGCACGTGTGTTTGTTTACCCGGAGTTTGACGCGTCAGTGAACACACACCCCTACGCAAAACCTCTGTGCCTTTTAAGTCACGGTTGTTTTTCCCACCTTCAGAAATAGCTGCAGAGGAAAGTGGAAAGTAGTCGAATGTAAACAGGCACGCTGCTCTCCTGCTCCAGGAAGGGTACCCTGCCTCCAGTGGCTCCCCTCTCCAGCCCCAGCCTCCTGGAAGCGAGAGGAGTTGAGCAAAGATGGTGGTGGGAGATGCAGCTCTGAGCTTTCTGCAGCTCCCTGGTGACAAGAATGAGCACCCAGCCTGCTGCTAGAGCAACCAGTGCACCCTAGACCCTCCGGAGGCCCAGGGCAAGCTCGGGCCAGACTCAAGGGCAGGGAAGCGAGGTGTGGAGGGCACAACCTCTGGACCGAGGCTGATTCCTGTTTCCTTCCACTTACCAGCTCTGTGACTTGAACTGAGTTCTTTCACCTCTTCTGGACCTCAGTTTCTTTATCTACAAACTGGGGGTGATAATACTTTTCTTGTCGACCTGTTACAAAGGTTAAGGGAAATAAGACATTCAGAGTCTGTGAAGAGTCCTGGCCAATGGTGGGTGCTCAGTAAGTGTCTGTGTGCTTCCCTGATACCTGCAGCTGGAAATCTACCTGGAATCAGACCTCCACTCAGAAGTCAGACCATGCTCAAGAAGTCTGGTCCCTTTTTATTTCCATCTTTGTTCTAGGCCAGGGCTGGACTCGCCTCCAGGGCAGCGCAGCCTAGCCCTGAGATCTAGAGAGAACCTGGACAGATTCCCCACACACAAGAGGGGGGAAACTGCAGTGGCTGGGATTCTAGATTGGGGGGGGGGTTCCAACCTCCTGGGGGAAGGGCTCCTGGGGCCACCAATATTGATTCATACCATAAACACTCACTGGCCACCTGTCCTGTGCTATGGGTACAACAATAAGCAAGCCAGGGCTGTAGCTGGAGAGACCTTTCTATGGGCTGTGGTCAGGGTTGTGACAGAAGGAAGCATGGATACCGTACGAGCATAAAGCCAGCCCCTTGGCCAGCAGGGGTGGGGGAGACTTTGAGCTGGAGAGACCTTTCTATGGGCTGTGGTCAGGGTTGTGACAGAAGGAAGCATGGATACCGCACGAGCATAAAGCCAGCCCCTTGGCCAGCAGGGGTGGGGGAGACTTTAAGAAGCTTCCTGTAGGAGGTGGCTGAACCTGAGTTGAGTCTTGAAGAACAAGTGGGAGTTGTTTGGAAACAATGAGGAGGAGACATGAGAAGGAGTGGCTGTCAGCGTAATTTCAACCCAAGGCTTGCGCACAGTGTGTAAGTGGGGCAGCAACAAGAGAAGCCAGGGCAAGTGGCCGGGCCAGGTCACAGAACGTCTTACCTGCGGGGCTGGCTTCTTAACCTGACAGCCTCGTCCCGGGCAGCTCTGCCATGCTGTTGGGAAAGGGAACGCCCCTGCCTCCAGGGTGGGGAAGCTGACAAAATCCAAAGCAGTACTCCCACCCGGGAGAGCCTAGGCAGACCCCAGGCAGCATCACCCCCGCTTCCCCAGCTGCTGTCTGCATGTGGGTCCAGGGTCCACTTCCAACCTCCAGGGTCCTGGGTCACCCATCCCAGAGTTTAGAAGCTGTATTTGTTTCCACCACGCCCTATCCACCTCTCATCTACTCCACCAGAGTAGATAAAATGATGGAAACTATCATTTTATCTTCTATTTACCCAGTGAGCCGAGGAGGGAAGGAGGGAAGAGGTAAGAAAAGTTAGAGAATCTACGCCATGTCTCTCTGGGCTCAGGTATCTGAAGATGACAATAGCTCCAGCCCAGCCACTCTCCTTCCCTCCCAAACACATGCATGCACGCGCTTACACACACATGCGTGCACACGTACACTCACACACCTTCCTCTGAGTTATCCTGGGAACGCCCAAGGCTCAAACCCTCACTCCTTCCCTGAAGACTCTCAAGGTCATTCGCTCCCTGAGCAAGTCATAGAAAAGGACACTAAAGCCTTAGGAATTGAAGGACAGAACCCAAGAGCCCTGGCTCTGGCTCTGGCCTTGCCCTCTGTAGCTCCTTCAGCTTCTGGAGTCAAAGGACCCGACAGCAGGGAGTAGACGCTGCTTCTCTGCCACCACCCTAACTCTGTATCCTCTTCTTCTAGGGTGGCCCCGGTGAGGCGCAGCAATGAATGAGCAGGCTCAGCCCCAGCAGACAAGGATGAGGAGCCGCACCCACGAGGGCGGGCAGTGATGCCCACCCATCCAGTATAGAATGACTGCCCTGGGAGGGTAGTTCCCCAGACCCTGGCAGGGCTGCTGACCCTCAGCCCACAAAACGCAAGGAGCAGAAGGACTCCAGACTCTTCCTGTGGATGGTCACCTGCCCACCAGCTCCACCATGAGGCTCCTGGTGGCCCCCCTCTTGCTAGCTTGGGTGGCTGGTGCCACTGCCGCTGTGCCCGTGGTTCCCTGGCATGTGCCCTGCCCCCCTCAGTGTGCCTGCCAGATCCGGCCCTGGTACACACCCCGCTCATCCTACCGTGAGGCCACCACTGTAGACTGCAATGACCTCTTCCTGACAGCAGTGCCCCCAGCACTCCCCGCAGGCACCCAGACCCTGCTGCTGCAGAGCAACAGCATCGTCCGTGTGGACCAGAGTGAGCTTGGCTACCTGGCCAACCTCACAGAGCTGGACCTGTCCCAGAACAGCTTTTCGGACGCCCGAGACTGCGATTTCCATGCCCTGCCCCAGCTGCTGAGCCTGCACCTGGAGGAGAACCAGCTGACCCGGCTGGAGGACCACAGCTTTGCAGGGCTGGCCAGCCTTCAGGAACTCTATCTCAACCACAACCAGCTCTACCGCATCGCCCCCAGGGCCTTCGCGGGCCTCAGCAACCTGCTGCGGCTGCACCTCAACTCCAACCTGCTGAGGGCCGTTGACAGCCGCTGGTTTGAGATGTTGCCTAACTTAGAGATCCTCATGATCGGTGGCAACAAGGTAGATGCCATTCTGGACATGAACTTCCGGCCCCTGGCCAACCTGCGCAGCCTGGTGCTCGCAGGCATGAACCTGCAGGAGATCTCCGACTATGCTCTGGAGGGGCTGCAGAGCCTGGAGAGCCTCTCCTTCTATGACAACCAGCTGGCCCACGTGCCCAGGCGGGCGCTGGAGCAGGTGCCTGGGCTCAAGTTCCTAGACCTGAACAAGAACCCACTCCAGCGAGTGGGGCCGGGCGACTTTGCCAACATGCTGCACCTCAAGGAGCTGGGGCTGAACAACATGGAGGAGCTGGTCTCCATCGACAAGTTCGCCCTGATCAACCTCCCTGAGCTGACCAAGCTGGACATCACCAACAACCCACGGCTGTCCTTCATCCACCCCCGCGCCTTCCACCACCTGCCCCAGATGGAGACCCTCATGCTCAACAACAACGCCCTCAGTGCCTTGCACCAGCAGACGGTGGAGTCCCTGCCCAACCTGCAGGAGGTGGGGCTCCACGGCAACCCCATCCGCTGTGACTGTGTCATCCGCTGGGCCAATGCCACGGGCACCCGTGTCCGCTTCATCGAGCCGCAGTCCACTCTGTGCGCGGAGCCACCAGACCTCCAGCGCCGCCCAGTGCGCGAGGTGCCCTTCCGGGAGATGACAGACCACTGCTTGCCCCTCATCTCCCCCCGCAGCTTCCCCCCCAGCCTCCAGGTGGCCAGTGGAGAGAGCATGGTGCTCCACTGCCGGGCGCTGGCCGAACCAGAACCTGAGATCTACTGGGTCACTCCAGCCGGGGTTCGACTTTCACCTGCTCATGCAAGCAGGAGGTATCGGGTGTACCCTGAAGGGACCCTGGAGCTGCGGAGGGTGACGGCGGAAGCGGCAGGGCTGTACACCTGTGTGGCCCAGAACCTGGTGGGGGCTGACACTAAGACAGTCAGTGTGGTTGTTGGTCATGCTCCCCTCCAGCCAGGTAGGGATGAGGGCCAGGGGCTGGAGCTCCGGGTGCAGGAGACTCACCCCTATCACATCCTGCTATCCTGGGTCCCCCCACCCAACACAGTCTCCACCAACCTCACCTGGTCCAGCGCCTCCTCTCTCCGGGGCCAGGGGGCCACTGCTCTGGCCCGTCTGCCCCGTGACACCCACAGCTACAACATCACCCGCCTCCTTCAGGCCACGGAATACTGGGCCTGCCTGCAAGTGGCCTTTGCTGATGCCCACACCCAGTTGGCTTGTGTGTGGGCCAGGACTAAAGAGGCCACTCCTTGCCTGAGAGCCTTAGGGGACCAGCCTGGGCTCATTGCCATCCTGGCACTTGCTGTCTTCCTGCTGGCAGCTGGGCTAGTGGCCCACCTTGGCGCAGGCCAGCCCAGGCAGGGGGTAGGTGGGCGGCCTCTACTGCCAGCCTGGGACCTCTGGGGCTGGAGTGCCCCCTCTGTTCGGGTGGTATCTGCACCCCTTGTCCTGCCCTGGAATCCAGGGAGGGAGCTGTCCAAATACTCAGAGGAGGAGATGCTGTCGCCACCGTGGTCTCAAAATTCCTGAAGCTCAGCCTGTTCTCAGCAGTAGAAAAATAACCAGTACTACTTCTTACCAAAAGAGAAGCAATCTGGGCCAAATGCCCTGCCAGGAAAGTGACACGGACCCACGTGCTTGAGGCCTGGCAGCTGGACAGAGACAGGAGGAGCTTGGTGGCTCCCCGGGGGTGCTCCTGCAGCCTCCAAAAAGTTGCCCTTACCTTCCGGGGGCTCCTCTGCTGCCATGCTGACGAACATCTCCAAGGAACAGGCAGGACTCTGCTAGAACCTCCCATGTCCCCATTTATCTACATGCCCAGAGGCTCCTGGGCCTCCGCTTGGCCGTCCCATGCCTGTGTCCCCAGGCCTTTGGCCCGCAGGATGCATCCACTTCCTTCCTCTCTCTTTGTAAAGTCTCAGTTGCTTGCTCTTTTTCCTCCTGGGCAAGGACTGAAGGAGGCCTCTCCTACCCATCTCAGGGGACCACCCTGAAAGTGGGAGTGACCCCCAGCCAGATCTGAAGGACATTTGGGGAGAAGCATGCCCAAGAATGCCTCGCTCGTCTTGGCAGCCCGGGCTTGGCACTCTGGAGTTGACTTTCTATAGGCAATTTTGTATCTTTGTGGAGAAATGTGTCACCTCCCCCAACCCAATTCACTCTTTTCTCCTGTTTTGTAAAAAATAAAAATAAATAATAATAATAACAATGTTGGGGGAAAGGAGATGAAAGGAAAATAATCCTTTGAATAGTGGGTGTAACTAAAGAGATCTCTGCTCTGGAATCTCTTCAAAACCTGGAAGCTGGGATGTGATAAGAAGAAGAGAAAGAGAGAGGGACATGGTGAGAGAGGGGACAGTTTTTCCTGTTTGAATCCTGGCCTCTGGGTCTGCTCCCAGCCCGTGGCTGTGAGCAGAAGAGCTGGGGAAAGACAAAGAGCAGGAGAGGCTGACAGTGACCACGAGGAAGAGCATGCAGGAGGCAAGGAGGGGGGTAGGGAGAAAAAAGTCTAAACAAACCCAGAGATGGGGAGAGAGCGGAAATTTCCATTACCAAACATTGTCACCCCTTCTCCTTCTTTGATAAGCAATTAACATGCCAGTGCATGGGAAGCACTTCCCGGCCTATTTCTAATTTAAAAAACCCAAGAGGCAGAGTCATGCAGAGAATTGCAAATCATCAAGACAGCAAGAACTTTGGCTGGCGGGGGCAGGAGGGGCACAGGGTGAAAGAGGGTTCGGGGAGGAGAGGGCTGTGGGATAAGAAAATTGCTGCATTTATCTTTCTGTTCCATTTCCGTATAATTTGCAATAAGCCTGGTTTGCTTTTGCAGTCTGTTTGTTTTTAACTGATTGACTTCTTAGGACCAAATGTGAAGGGAACATCTGTTGGAAAGCCAACAGAGCCTAGGGCAGAGAGGCCACTGTGGGCCAGCCGAGGGGGCGGTGGCAGAGCCAGAGGCCACTCAGCAGCAGCTTCCTGTTCCCGAGATAGGCTGGCACAAGGGATGGGTTTCCTGAGACTGACCAAGTCACACACGAGCCTGAGGGTTCCCCTGTGCTACAGAACACATTTGGCAGATGTGCTGGAAGCAGATTCTAAGCCACCATCAAAACTGCAAATGTATACACAGGTGGAAGCCAGACCAGTGACAGAGCATCAGGTCCCATGGACCAAGAAAGAGGACACTCACCCAAAGCACGAGGTGAGCAGGACTCTGAAGGCCATCAGGAGGTGGAGAAGGCTTCTTCCTCTTGGGCAGGGGTTCTCACACTTTATCCTGCATCAGAATCACCTGGAGGGCTAGTAAAACAGATGGCTTGTCCCAACTCCAGAGTTCCCGATCCACTGGAGCTGGGTGGGGCCTGAAACTTTGCATTTCTAACCAGTTTTCAGGTGACGCTAGGCTGGGGACAGCACTTTGAGAACCACTGGGTGGAGGCCTGCAGTGGCTAGAATTTTTCACTCCTGCTCCAGGTCTTGGCCACTTCTAACACCTTGAGGGTTCTTCCTCATGAGCTTTGGGATCATCACTGCCACGTTCCAGGTAGCCCCACGAAGTGACTGGAGCTGGCCTGTGAGATTTAGCCTATTTGCCAGCCTCCATGATCCAGAAGCTCTGTAGGGAAGAGGCAGGGCAGGGCCTGTGCTGATCATGGAAAACTGGAGACAGAAATCAATGCCTCTTGAGATCACCACTCGCTGCCTTTCTTGGCCGGCCCACACGACATGCAGAATCAAGGTGCTGTTCCCTTGCACTAGCACCCCGAGTGCTGTAAGAGCCCGTGGAGCCCTGCAGCACTCTCCCGTTGCCACCTCCACTGCCACCCACAACTTCCCCAACAGCCCTGGCTCGGTCAATAGCAACTAAAACAATGACCACAACAGATCTAGACAGCCTAGGGCGTTAACTCCGTCTAGCTCAAAATACTTTCAAGTGTGCCTGCACTTGGAAGGTGGAAAGGGGGACATTCTGCCTCCTCTGATCTCTCTGCTACCCCCATTTTGCTCACACTGCTCAGGCACAGAAAGTGTGAGAGGGCTTGGGAGCAGTGAGCACCTGGGGAAAGGGAGAAGCCACCCAACCGTGAGGATGCCACTCTGCTCCCAGGCTCCACGGACCTGATTCTCAGGGCACTGCTGCTTCCAGCTGCCGTGGAGCTCACAGCCGCTCGCGTCCTTGAAAATGAATCCCTTCTTCTTCGGGGAAAAATCAGTTATGACTATTAATCTGTTAACTGAATTTCTAGGTCCTGAACTGTTTGGCTACACCAGGGAAGTTAGGGGACATGAGGAAGGGAAGGTAGCAAGTGACCTCTCTTCTGTAAACAGTGATGATGCTGCAAAGACATAGCCAGTTGGGGAGAGGGAGGAAAAGGCACGTTGTAGGTTGCTGTGTCCTGCGATAGCTAGAAACTGAGCAAATGAGAGTGCGCACCTCTCCCCTGGCACAGAGCTGGACACAGGGCTCGGGTGTGTCTCCACCAGGAGGAAGGATGGGGGACCATCCCCTGCCCTCATCACGGTGCTGTGTGTCTGTTATCACAGCCTAAAGTGGCATTTGAAGACTTAGCTTTCACTCTGGACTGAGCGTGAGTGCAACTAAACATGCTGGGCTGAAGACAAACAAAACAGCTAGAAAGCCTGATCTCTTCTGTACATTTAAGATTGCTTCTTTTCTTTTAATCCTAAATAGAAAATGATATTTATTCCTGTTTAAATTTTAAGTTGTTACTTAGGGCCATCATTTCCATCTATTGAGATGATTTCAAAACCCAGCCCAGCTGTAGTTTTCCCTCCCTGGTGCATGCCACTGGCAAATTCCATCCTGCCTTCTATGTCCTCATGCGTGGCTTGGATAGACTGTGGAGCAGACAATCCTGGGGCTACCATAGCAGCCTTCCTACCAGCCCGGCACTGGGCCATTAGTGAACGTGTCTGGTGTGACCACTCAGGGAGCTACAGACCACCTAAGTGTACTATCTTGCAGCCCACATTACTGCATCTCATCTGTAGGGATGGTGAGGCAGACTTTGTGAGAGGCTGTGCTGAAATGAGGATTTAGTGAGTTTGTGGCATCCCTGGGAACAATCAGTCTAGTCACTGTGTCACAGAGGTAGATGAGACTGGTCTTAGCACGGAAAGTCCCATGTTTCAGGAACTCTCAGTGCTGGGAAAACTGGGATGCGTGGTCAGGCTCACCTAATGACCTCTTCCTAAGTCTACCCAAGCCATCTTCCATGCCCCCCACCAGTCAAATATTTAAGGAACATGACGGTGATAGACACCATTCTAGGAACTGATGATACAGACAAAAATCCCTGAGCCCAAGGACCTTGCATTTTAGTGAGGGGAGACAGTTGATGAACAGGAGAGATAAGTACAAATATATAATCTGTTGGATGGTAATGAGTGCTATGGAGGAAAAATTAAGTCAGGGAAGAGGATAAGCAGTGGGGGCTTCAATAGGGTGGTCATGAAAGTCCTCATCGAGGTGACATTTAAACAAAGACCTGGGGGAGTGAAGCAGCAGCTATTGGGGGAAAAGTGACCCAGGCAGAGAGAACAGCAAGGGCAAAGGCCAAGAGCAAGGAGGCTAGCGTGGCCGGAGCAACAGCGGGGTAGGAACCACGAGACCACCTGAGGTGGGAGCAGTGTAGGCGCTTGTGTTGGGCCTTGAAGGCCACAGTAAGGACTTTGGCTTTTCCTTCCAGCAGGAGGCAGAGCCACCAGAGGGTTCTGAGCAGACATGGCACGATTTGACTTAAGGAGGTCCATCTACTTGCTGGACTGAGAACAGAGCATGGGGGTTTGTAGTGCACAGGGCGGGAGTGGAGGCTACTACAGTCAAGATCTCAGTGTAATCATCTCCTCCAGGACTTTGTCGGGGTGGACACTGAGCACACCTCTGTATTTTTTTTTTTTCCTTTTTTTTGTCTTTTTTCGTGACCAGTAACGGGATCGCAACCCTCGGTGTCGCGTCCGCACCGCGCTCAACCAGTGAGCAGACCGGTCTCTATGTGGGATCCGAACCCTCGGCGGGAGCGCCGCCGCGCTCCCAAGCGCCACACTCTACCGAGTGCGCCACCGGGCCGGCCCACACCTCTGTATTTTTAAAATCTATCCTTTCCCCTAGTTTTGAAAATTGAAACCACATTTACTCTTTCACAGGCATTTGGCCCCTCTCTATTTCCCTGTAACTCTTCAAAATAGTCGTTCAAAATAGTTTGTGTAGACCAAGTTTCCACCATCACATTTGTAAGCCCTGTCAGTGCCCTGCCTTGTAACAGAGAGACTGAAACTCAGTTAAGGGGGTGAGGAATGATCTTTATTGGCCTTTAGTTTCATCTTAATTGTGTGTGTTGTTAAAGCACATCACTCCCAGGGAGACAGTGTCATGAGGGAGTCACCGTCCTGCCCTTCCATCAGCCACTCACGATGCCTTGCCATTGATGTCTACCTTCCTTCTTGATGATTTTACCAAAAGAAGCCTTGTGTGCTCCTCATAGGTTTCACAAGCATCAGATCAACCTGCCCTTTAACCTGCCCGGTATGATTCCCGCCCGTTTGCACTATTCTTCTGCAGTGGCCCTTAGTTTAACGGCGTCTCTTATTTTTTGCAGAGTGGTAATAATGGCTCACGTTGATTGGGCACTCACTACACGCCAGCCACTACAGTGGGGCTTTCACATGCACCATTTCATTCCACTCACAGCTGCTTTATAAAGTGGACGCTATTATTCCCATTTTACAGATTTAGATATTAGAGCTCAGAAAGGTTGAGTGATTATCCGAGATCGCACAGCTGGCAGGTAGCAGAGTCAGGAGTCAAACGCTGTCGATTCCAAAGCCTCCATCTTAACTGCTCTGCTCTACCATATACAAATTCAAATACTTTAAAAGTATGTTGAAAGTTTTTTGAGAACATAAGAATTGCTAAAATCTGTGTGCATTAGAAAGCTCCTTGTGTAGCCACTTTTATTTTTAGATACTGCCTCCCCCACTCCTTTTTTAAGCCCAGAATAATTTACCACTTTATGGTCAGGACTTCAGCTTCAAAACCTCTTGAACTATATTCTCTTGAGAACCACAGCTGATGATTCTTTTCTCCGGAATTTTGCAATATGCTTTTTAGAAGTCTGACTATGCACCCTTACCTTTTCATTTCCTGTATCACATCAACTTGAAAATTCTATAGTGGCTTCCTCTGGAGGTTCTCATCATGCCCCTCACCAATCGGTTCTTCTTTCTTGGTCAGAATTAAGTCCAGAACAGCTTTTGCCCATGGGCTTCCTTTGCTTCTGAGCTCAGATGTCTACTGAGCAAGTCAGAAGCTCATCAAAGCTTTGATGCTGAGCTGAGCCGGGCACCAAGCAAGTATCTAGATGGCAGGAATCCCCATCCCTGCCTCATCTGGCTTCCATGCCTATCGTATAGCATCAGTTAGAAAACGTGGTACCCATGGTCTCCTTCAAGCCAGGTGCCTGTATCATTCTCAGGCCACAATGCCCCCCTGAGCCACTGTCCTTTTATACCCATCCAAAGGCTGGTTCTCCTTCCTGTTGATGTCTCATGCCCTGGTACAGTCATGAATCAGTACCCCCACCGTCCACCACATACTCCAAATCTGTGTGTTCCTCTAGGTTCCCTTTTCTACAGTCCCCAGCCAAAGAATCCAGAGGACCCCTTTGCCATGTTTATAGACAGTTCCAATCATCATAGTCCCCACCCCCACTTTCAACACAGCTGCACCCAAAAAAAGACCTGGTTTGTTTTGCTTATGGACCTCTTCGAGCTCTGAAAGAGCCATCATTTCAAA